GCTTGCTGCCCCCAGACTGGGCAGGCAGTGAGCCAGGGCGCTCCTCGCCTTGTCCGGAAGCCTGGCTGAGCTTGCGCCTGCCGTGGGGGCCCCCTGGCCAGCTGTCCACGTGCCGTGCCTTGTCTGGGAACCTGGCGGGGAGAGTGAGTTAAAAACTTTACAGATGACCTCCTATGTATAATGCGCACCCCGGCTTTAACCCTTAAAAATCTGGGGGAAAAGTGCGCATTATACTCGCGATTTTACGGTAATTCTACGCTATCTCTGTTAAGTAATAAGGTAAAGGCTCTTTAGGGCTGTCTGGAGATGGGACCGAGGAGGCCTGATTTTTGCCACTATCGTTTGAAGGAACTTAGTTGCGGCTGGTCCCTGGGTGGATTTCCTTTGAAACTGGCTGGTGTAGGCTGCAGGGGAAGGAATTTTCATTCCTCGCGGCAGGGTTCCTTGTGGACTTGCCAGACAAGAGGTCTGAGGCAACCCGTCTCCGTGTTTCTCTGCCCTGTGTCTGGTGCTGGAAACGGGGAAAAGTCGGAGCTCTACACAGCCCCGAGGGTGTCTTCCGCTGAGGGGGCTTGTTGTTCGAAGCTGCCTTTGATCTGTAGCGGGGATGGGCCTCAGAGGCTGGGTTGAGTGGAGGGAGGTTCTGGTACCAACTGCTCCCCTGGGTTTTAACGGAACAGATTCGGGCTACTAAGGCAGGATTTTGACTTAGCTAATGAGGGCCAGCAGGTGGCGCTGCCGTATTAGCGCTTTTCTGGTTGGCTGAGGAGGAACTCCAGGTATGCGTCAAGGTCTCTGCGGCCCGATTAATATTCAAAGCATGTTTGCTGCTTTCCTCAGAGCGTCCGGGGAACCTGTTGGAGTGAAAATTCAGCGCAGGCCGCAGCGCCACTTTGCAGCGTGTGGGCCTGGCCGGAGGCCGACACGCAGCGGGGTCTGGTTTGCGCTCGGAACAGTTCATCCGCGGGCGGGGAGGAGAGTCTAGCGGGAGCTCTGAGGGCTTTCCAAAGAGTTGTGCACTCCGGTTTGATTCAGGAGACAAAGCGGCACTCTTCCTGTTTACAGCAATTCCCTGGGGCTGGTTCAGTGAGCAAGCGAGAGGCCAGTCTGTCACGGCTGCTCTAACGATATTCGACGTCGGTGCTGAGAGCCTTTCGTCGGAGAGTCTCGAAGCCCTTTTCAAACAGTCCCTGAGCCTCGCGAGCCCTCTGCGGAGCACTGCTACGTGCATTTCCTGGGGAGAGTAAGGGGCAGCGTTTGCCACTTAGAATCCAGGGCCGGCAGAGACCTCAGGAGGTCGAGTTCAGCCCCCTGCCCAAAGCAGGGCCACCCCAACTCCATCATCCCAGCCAGGGCTTGGTCAAGCTAGGACTTCAAAACCTCTAGGGATGGAGATTCCACCCCCTCCCTAGGGAACCCAGCCCAGCGCTTCCCCACCCGCCTAGGGAAATGGTTTGTCCTAATCTCCAATCTAGACCTCCCCCACTGCAACTTGAGCCCATTGCTCCTCGTTCTGCCATCCATCACCACTGAGAACAGCCTCTCTCCAGCCTCCTTGGAACCCCCCTTCAGGGAGTTGCAGGCTGCTCTCAAATCCCCCCTCACTCCTCTCTTGTGCAGACTAAACAAGCCCAAATCCCTCAGTCTCTCCTTGTAAGTCATGTGCTCCAGCCCCCTCATCACTTTCATTGCCCTGTGCTGGACTCTCTCCAACGCGCCCACGTCCTTTCTGTGACGGGGGGCCAGAACTGGACGCAGTACTCCAGATGGGGCCTCACCAGGGCCTAACATCAGCTGAGGCACTGGCAGGAAGAGGAGCCAGGAGTGCTGGCCCCCAGTCCTGTGTTCTGGCCTGCTAAGGTGAAACAAGCTGCAAGTTAGGTTGGTCTCTCTGTGCAGCCTGCGGCTCTAATTGCCCAGCGTGACAATGCCCTTCCAAGCCACGTCCCACTGCCCTTGGGCCCCGTGTCCAGAGAGAAGCCAGCTTTCTACAGTAACCTGGTAAAGTGGAGATGATCAGCAACGCCTCATGTCTTACTGAGGGCGATCCCTGTGAAGGGGTCACCTCTGTTTGGCAGTGAGACCCACCTAGCAAACCTCTGATGTGGCGAATTCCCCCACGGAATCCAAGGGACCTCTACGATCAGGCTCCAAGGGAAGAAAGGTCTTTTAATTACACAGGCTTGCGCACGGCTCCACCCCTGCCCCCTCTCCTCGGTTATCAAAAGCCAATAACCATCCATCGAGCTGGAATTAAAATAGCCAAACTCCCGGCAGAGGGGAAAGACTGGAAGAATTGGGTTTGTTTAGTTTGGAAAAGAGAAGACTGAGAGGGGACATGAGAGCAGCTTTCGAGTACCTAAAAAGATGTGACGAGGAGGGAGAAAAATTGTTCTCCTTGGCCTCTGAGGACAGGACAAGAAGCAATGGGCAAGGGAGGTTTAGGTTGGACATTAGGAAAAATTTCCAACCTGGTGGCGTGGTTGGAAAAAGTTGCCTAGGGAGGTTGTGGAATCTCCATCACTGGAGATATTTAAGAGCAGGTTGGACAGACACCTGCCAGGGATGATCTAGATGGTGCTTGGTCCTGCCATGAGGGCAGGGGACTGGACTTGATGCCCTCTCGAGGTCCCTTCCCATTCTAGGATTCTGTGCGTGTTTGGGGCTAGGTGGCTGCTGTTTTCTCGCCCTCCCCTACGAATGCATTGGTAGTGGAGATGTCGTGGAAAGGGCTGACTTCCTGCTCAGCCTGGTTTGGAGCCATTTGAAGCTGGCTCCCGTCCTTCCCCCACCCCCTGCCTGGCCGTGCTGCTCAGACACTGTTCTGTGGTTGTGCTTGTCTCTGACTGTAACCCACCACCTGCAGTGCTGCTCACTCCCGGGAGACCAGCACTGCTGTGGTGACTCCCAGGCATCTGTGGGAGCTTGGTGCTTGGATAGATCAGGGCATTTATTTAGGTTCTGTTCCCTGAGGTTCCTGTCTTTGAAAATCCTGCTCTTGCACTATTTTCTTCGTTGCCCACTTGAAGAAAGTGCCGGTAACTTAATTCCTGGGAGAAAGAACATCTTAATGAACTCCGTCAATATTGGCTACTTAGCCACTGAAATGAAAATATTAGGATCTCTCAATTAATCACAATTAACTCCTGTGGTTAAAAAAATTGAATTATGATTAATCACCGTTTTAGTCCCTCTGGTAAACAAACTATAGAACACAATTGACATGGATTAAAAAAAACATAGAATGAGATTCTTCTGCCTTTTCAAATATTGATTTCCGTTACGCAGAATCCAGAGCCCTCTCCCTTTCCCTCTTGATTATTTTTTGGTTACAAATATTTGCACCGTGAAACAAGAAACAAAGAAACGCTGGTTGTACCTCCCTAATCTGGGACTCCCCGAGCCGGATCACAGATGTTCCCGGTCCACAGAGACCAGGAACAGGGAGGTCAGGAGGCAGGATGGCTGCCGACTCAGCCGGGAGACCTGTGCTGGGGAACGGGGCGGTGCGGCAGGAGGTCTGGCCCATTGGCCGGGGAACTACAGCCCAGCCGCGGCCAGGGAGCTCTGTTGCTGGAGCCGGTGGCTTCCGAACTCTCTTGCTGCTGCCGGGCTGGAGCACTGCAGCTGTCTGGCGCCGGGGGTGGCGCTAGAACGGGGCTGGAACTTGGCACCCAGGGGGCTCCAGACCCCATCCTGGCTGTGGAGCTCCGGCCATGGTGCTCTGGCCCCAGTAGAAGCTGAGCCGCTGGCAGCTAGAGAGCTCCGGGGGGCTGGAGCAGCAGTAGGGCATGACTGGAGTCCAAGCACAGGCCATGAGGTGAGGGACCTCCCTGGTCCAGCAAATCCCCTCGTTCAGGCCCGGTCAGGTCCCAAGGGTGCCGGACCAGGGAGATCCAACCTGTAGTGTTTTTAGAGCCCAGCGTGAAAACAGAATTTGCATCTGCAGCTGTATCCACAGAATTTGCAGGATTCTAGATACAAAATTTGCATTCGCGTCTACACCCCTCTGTGCAAAAATGAGCCGGGAGCATCAGCAGCCACAGCTGTGGCTAGAAAGCAGCTACCAGCACATTTGCAGGGCTCTTCGTATTTTTCAATCCACCCACGGCGCCAGGCACTGTGTGTGCCTGGCGTTGGATTGTGGGGCTTTACTGAACAAACCCAGAAATCACAATCCGCAAACCCCATTCTTCCTCGGGGGAGTCAGAACCAGCCCACCTCCGATAAACAAGGTGCCCCCATGCTGCTAGCAGCGCTGACAAATCGGTCCCCCACCTGGGCCGCTTCCAGGGCCTCTTGTCGTACAACCCGCGTCCTTCTGGCCATGTGGAGTTGACACGGAACGAGCTGGGACTGGACGGAGCTCTCCGTTCTTCTGGCCCATGCTCTCGTCTGCTCCTGGCTTTCTGAGTAGCAGTGTGAGATTAGCCTGGTAGCTGCATGAGCAGGGCGCTCTGCCCCCAAGATACCCTAGGACTGGAGGGGACCTCGAGAGGGCATCAAGTCCAGTCCCTGGCCCTCCCGGCAGGACCCAGCACCAGCGAGATCATCCCTGACGAGCGTGGGTCTAACCCAGCGATGGAGATCCCACATCTCCCCGTCTAGTCAGACCTCGGCGCGAGTCTGTTCAATCCACATTCTCGTAGGGGAGCACCAAAAAATAATTGCTCTGAAACAGGCTGGCCTGTGATCCCAACGCATGGGGAAGACCCCAGGGCTGTGCACTCGCTGGGCAGTGTTGGAGGCTTCTCGGTTGGCAGGAAACTCAGGGAAAAGGGCAGTCGGGCCTTGCTTTCATCTGAGACCTCTGGGCCCGGGTGCTCGCGGGAGGCTGATGTTTCATTGAATGGGGCGGCGGCTGAAAGTCGCTCTCGCCTCTGCTGCTGCCCAGCCAGGGGACCGCGGGCAAGTCCCTTCCCCTGGGTTTCTGCCTCCACGGGGTGGACATCGTGGTGCTGGCTCTCCCGGGGAAAGCGCTTGGAGCTGCGTGGCGGAAAAGCTCCCCGCAGCTCCTGGCCAGCTCGGGTAAGGCGGGCGGAGGCTGCCAGGGACCCTCAAAGGCTAGAATCTCGCGAGCGACCACCTGCCTGGTGGATAGGGCTGGGGAGACACCAGGCCCCAAATTGTAGCATTTCCGAATGACAGACAGCGGGAGAGGGAGGAGTCTGTTCCATGCCCTGACCACTGGCAAGGCCTTGCGGTTCCTTCCTTGTGCGGATTTGTGACTCCTCCCCGCCACCCCCTGACTCCAGCCACAGGACCCGGCCTCCAGGTAGCAAAAACAGGCGGGTGCGTCTGCTCTGGGTCCAGATTTGGCCGTTGCTTTAACTCCTTTGACCCTGCTTCCTCTCGGCCCAGGCGTTCCCTCCTGACTCCAGCCTCTCTGCTCCCCAGGCGTGGACACCCACGTGCACCGGATCACGAACCGCTTGCGATGGGTGAAGGAGGAAACTAAGACCCCCGAGGAGACCCGAGTGGCGTTGGAGGACTGGCTGCCCAGGTGAGGAGGCTCATGCAACAGGCGGTCTGGACTGTTTGACTGACATCCCGACAGCACCCCCAGACTCCTCCCTTTCCCCCTGCTCCCTGCTGGACTCTTCCTCAGAAACTGCCTGCAACATCTCTCGTCTGGTGCTGTAGTTTATGGCAACAAGCGGCTGTCACATCCCGCACGCACCACCCTGCTGAGCTGTTTCCTACCCTGCCCTGGGGCATTTTCAGTGTCCCCTCCCCTCGTCACAGCCATGGGAGGGAAGCCCAGCATTGCAGCAGGCCTGGGACGTGGCCCCGGGATGTTTCTCGCTTCCCAAGAAGCAGCATCTAGTTCAGCTGTTTGGATGGTTCCCGGACCTCGGAAACGTTTGCGTCTCCTAGTCTGTACCGCTGGGCTTGTTCCCTGCTCTCCACGGGGGAGACCGTTCCACCCTCTAAGAGTGAATTCCCACCTATCTCGTACATCAGGGTGGGGAACCTATGGCCCAGGAGCTGGATATGGCCCCCGACTTGCCTGGATCTGGCCCCCGAGGCTTGGGGCTCCCCCCTCAATATCGGGGAGCCTGGGGCTGGCACTCCAGCCCCCTCACCATTGCCCCGTGGGATGGAGCGCACACAACCGACCAGCCTGGGGCCCCCTAGGCGCTAGTATGCGCAGGGAACGTGGGGAGGGTCTTTCTGCTTCTCAGACGGGGGCCACCTCAGTGAGTTTTTTGGGAGTTTTTTGCTTCTCACTTGCTCCCCGACTGATTTTTCTGTGGGTCAGCAGCCCCGGCCCATAAAAGGTTCCCCACCCCTGGCCTACATGATCAGTTACAGGTCCCTGGTCCAGCACCCTCCAGACCTGACTGGTCCCGGAGGAGGGATTTTTCCGGCCTTGGGGAGATCATTTCCCGTCACCCATTCCCAGCTTCTGACAGACAGAAAAAAGGGATGCAAATTAAAATAAGGAATAAGGGATCTTTCGGAAAAGGCTTTATTTTCCGAAAGATCCCCGTCTAGACTGGCACTTTTTTCCGGCAAAGCTCCGAGCCGGGAAAAAGCAGCAGCCATGTTTATGCAAATGAAGCGGGGGGATTTAAATCCCCGCTTCAATTGCAATGTGTCTAATTTGCATCCCTTTTACAGAAAAGGGATGCAGTCTAGACACAGCCACAGAGGCTAGGGACGCTATCCCTGCCCATCCTGGCTAAGGAGTATTGATGGACCTATCTTCCAAGACTTGATCTACCTCTTTTTTTGAATCCTGTTAAAGTCCTGGTTTTCACAACCTCCTTGGGCAAGGAGTTCCACAGGTTGACTGCGTGTTGGGTACAGAAATCCTTCCTTTGGTTTGTTTTAAACCGGCTGCCTATTCATTTCATTGGGTGACTCCTAGTTCTTGTGTTATAGGAACAAGTAAATAACTTTTTCTTATTCACTTTCTCCACCCCGTCATGATTTTATAGACCTCAATCCTGTCCCCCCTTAATCTCCTCTTTCCTAAGCTGAAAAGTCCCAGTCTTTTGAATCTCTCTTCAGATGAGACCCGTTCCAAACCCCTCCTCATTTTTGTTGCCCTTTTTGAACCTTTTCCAAAGAGATGAGGCACCCACGTCCAGAGTAGTCCAGCAATTACCTGGCTCTTTTGACAGCCGCTGCACACGGAGTGGATGTTTTCAGGGAACCATCCACGACGATGCCAAGAGCTGGGAAGGCCTGTGAGGCGGCCGGGCACTAACTCGTCCCCTTTCTCGCCCGCAGGGATCTCTGGGGTGAGATCAACTGGCTCCTCGTGGGATTCGGCCAACAGATCTGCCTGCCCGTGAGCCCGCGCTGCCAGGAGTGCCTCAACAGAGACATCTGCCCAGCGGCTAAGAGATGCTGAGGGAACAGCTGCTCCCAGAGCGGCCCTGGGGTGGGCAAGCCGCCGGGCTCGATGCCCCCGTAAGACTGGGGCGGGTGAGGGGAGATCTCGTGCGGCAGAGCGCTGGGCTGAGGAGAGCTGCTCTCTGAAGAGGACAAGCTTGAAGGGCGGCCGTCCTGCTGAGTCAGCGCTGCAGGCCCAGGCCGGGCGTGGGTGCCCAACACACACCGCAGGGACGGTGGGAACGAGGCGCACGGCGGGATCTGCTGGAGTTGGGAGGGGACCTCGGCCGGCTCGGTGTCTTGCCAAGCCCAGGGGCCCTGCCTCGGGCGGCGGGGGCACACCCAGGTTTGGGCGAGTCGGGGGGTGTCCGGCGGTTTTCTGACATGGCTCCAGCGCAGGAGAGAACTGTGGCTGGCTCCGCCTCCGTCTGAGGGCCCAGGGCAGGCCCGGCCCGGCCCGGCAGCAGGGAAGA